TTCACTCTGTAAGCAACCGTCGTGATATATTAAAGCAACAAGAAAAGAATATGAAAATATCAATATCCCGAAAACTGAATTTAAAAAAAAGATTATGGTAAACAATAGGTTGAGATTTTATTGTAAACAACTTTTGCTTGTATAGTGCACGGGAGGATATTACCGGCCTGAGGGTCTCAGTGGGGTAATGGCTTTTACGGTCAGCGGTTAAAATTTGACCATATTACGGCTATAAGGCCATATCAACTGCCTAAAATTTGAATAAAAAAAAAATTAAGATAACGATTTGTTGAGATTTGGCTGTTAACACAATGATTTTGTATGTCAGTGGAAGATGAAACACAACTAATAAATTTAGATATTTAAGGTTTCTACAAGACCTATTATTCCTACACCTGAAGGTTCAATAAACCCTCCAAATGGGTCAACGAAACAATGTAAAAACACTCGTGTTCCGAAGACTTATCGAAAGTTGAATAAAAATGAAAATAAAAGCCCGATGGGATATATAGCTGCTTATATTCTCAGAAAAAAAACCATGCAGACATCTGATAAATAGGCTTCGAGAGTCAACAGGAGAAATACGAATATTCATCCGGATTGCTAAACTGAATATATACGTAGGGAAGAGACAGAAAGAGTATGAACCAGAAAAGCTGCGACCTATCAGTAAAATAATAATTTTCAAAGATACCAGGAAGGGAAATGCAGTGGCCGAATTGAAATATTTAATAAATGAAATTATACGATAATCTTTTGTGTGGAAACCGAGAATTGTTATTGATATGGATAGAAAGGAAATAAATGACATACAGTTTTCGAATATAAACCAAATGGAATCATAGTGGCCGAGTTGGAGATTTTTAAGAAAGATAAGAATGCGAGCATCATTAGGTTTGCAAGCCAAAACTTGTTATAGAAATTACAACCCTCACGTTTAACTTAATGGTAACTGACTCTTAACGCGTGCATTGACTGAAATTGAATGGCTAAAAACTTAACCTTTCGTCTCCCAGAACAGATCAAAATGTGACTAGCCATAACATGATTCAAAATAACATCCAGCCGGCAAATTTAAAAAGGATTGTAAAGCAACCAAGATGGGATTTCACGAATCAATATTCGGGAGCCCAAAGGGAGAATTACAATACCAGTACGAACACCTTAAAATCGCATGCGCAGCAGACCCAGGTGGCAATTGTGCTGCTTCAGGCGTACCAGGAGTACCTTGGAAAAAGCAGCGTAAACGCATTATAAGCATGCCAGAGTGATGATGTAACTCGGAAGGACAAAATCAGAGAGAGGGGTAGAAATCACAAGAAGGCATCAAATGCCCTCACAGCTGATTGAAGTCTCACTGGAATGCTAATATAACTATATCTTGAACGTTTATAAAACCGCTTCAAAGACAGAGTCTGAATAAAGTGTTAGCAGTGAATCTATTTAATCACTTTCACCAGAGTGTGGTGAGGGTCGCACAACAGAGCGAGGCTCCAAATTAAGTGCGCCCTATATCCCACCAATCCCACCCCAGGAGAGGACATCCATCACACAGTAATCTCGTGTGTGGGAAATTAACGTCTCCTACCCC